AGATGTTAATAAGCATAATTAATGTTGTTAATTATATTTTGAGTGAGAACAAAGCATTTTCAATATGCTTCCATATAAATACCTTGTTAAGGTGTTAAATCTTATTAAAGTCTTGGTTTAACATCTTTTGACATAGTAATTTGAATGTCACATTCTTTAGACTCTGTGTGTTCATGTTAGTCACTGATGTAATAACTAAATCATTTTTTAATCTCATCCACAAATTACGCAAACGTTTTTAAAGAATTTTTTGCCACCTTGCCCTAATGAGAATTGCTTATTCCTACGCATTAAATCAGAAAGGGTTGCATTTTAACGTGTTTAACAATTGGGTTCAAAGCTATTGAAACTTTTTATTTGCTAGATTAACAGGCTAGAAAATTCTGTTTCATACTCTTAGTATGTACTAAGGAGTCTTAACTTTTCCATTTTCTTTTTGTTCTTAGATGCTTACATTACTGCACTTGATCTTGGCCAAAAGGCTGAGAAGCAGTGGATGCTTACATTACTGTATCTTTTACACCACTTACCTTTCTCGTGAGCATTAGTTTAGTTAAAATTAGATAACAGAATCACAATCACGACACCATATGCTGGGCCCCCACAGCATGGTGAAAGTGGACCCACAGCAAATGAGGGTATTTCAGATACTCTGTGTTGTAGAATTCCTCACTCTTCCCTCAGGTTACCTTGGATACGGTGCCCAACCCATGGGCCAGGTGAGGATGCAAGAACTCACCCATGTATTAAACTTTACTAAAGTTTCATTTCTTTTCAAAAATAAAAACAGAATAAATGGACGCTCTAATTACAAATATTGTAGAAGCTTTTAGTAAATATCAATAAAAGCTCTAAGATTTCCTTCTTGCACACCCATGGATAGTCTTGTGCGTTTCCAGAGTACGTGAACCCCGCTTTGGGGGCACTGGATAAGGTCCGAGCAAAAGTGCATGTGAAACCTTGAATTTTGTTTTGTTATCACAACGGAAGTGACTCCCAAAAGACACACTATACCCTGTCTGGACTGGCAACGTGAGCAAAAGAAAACAGAAAGAACTTGGAAATCTGCGTTTGCCTGTCCTTAGGCAATGCTTTCCCTTGCAATAAATCTGGATGGGGCAAGTAGAGGCCACCCTGGGGATGGTGCAGAGGTTTCAACTCATGTGTCAACTGGGGTTGGCTGGTAACAATTGCCTGGAAAGCTCTGTTGTGAGGACACCAAGGCCACGTCCAGGGAAATGAAGCAAGACGACTGACAATGATGCGTGGCTGGTACACAAGCCAGCTACCACCACCATCGTGCTGAGCAGACCTTGTCCTCCACTCGCGTTCCACACTGTGCTTCCGCTAACCTGGGCTTCAGACCGCCTCCTTCTCAGGCGGCACTCAAGCTCAGAAGCAGAAGGGGACCCGGGTGAGGAACTTTTGGTAAGAGAAGTCGGTGACCACCATGAAGTTGGAAGGAACAAACTCCCACTTTGGAATGGCTCTCTCCACGTGGCAACCACTCTCAGGAATTTTTCTCTCCTGTGCAGCTATGAACCGTTACAGACCAGCAAAGAGGGGCACTGGGTTCCGGTCAGCTGCTATAGCTTGGCTGACAGTGTGAATGGGAAACTGTTAACCACCTCCCCTCCTCTTTTTTTCCAACTTCCCTTGTCTATCCAACATCAAATGATCTATGACTGCAACAGCAAAGTGGATCCAATTCTAAGACATATTTAATACGTTGGATTCCGAATGCACATCTTCATTTGGGAAAGAATGCAAAAGGAGAAGAGATACTTAATACATCCCCCGAGAGGTCACGTTTGACGGTGTTTCCTAGGTGGGCAGGGGCAGAATTAGGACCGCGGTACTCTTCCGTGGCCTTACGCACACGATTCAAAAAGGAAGCTGAGCGAGGACACGCGTCGCGGGCGGGTGACTTACCTCAGAGGCAGCAGCACGCAATAGCGCACCACGACGCCCAGCACCCACACCAGGGTGAGCCTTGGACTGACGTAGTGGAAATTTACATTGGTTCTCGTGAGGAGATTCCACGACACCAGCTCCTCTGAGGAAAACCTCTGGGTCACCTCATCTTCCACGATGGCTTCCAGTCCCTTCTTGGAGAAATAAAACACGTCAGACAGCTCAAAGTCCCTTCCTCGCAGACCAGAGAGCCCTTTTTCCATGGGTGACTCATCTCTTTGGATAATACCTTAAAAGAAAGCATCGTGACATGAGAAAATGCCGTAGGACGGAACAACTGACCAAAGGAACAACTTTGTGTGGAAAATAAGAAACAAGTTAATAAGTTTAATGGGTGACATGGAGCAGATTTCAGGTAAGAGACAAGCAGTCGCGGTGGAAAGAGCGAAGAAATCACTGTCTGCGTGAAATGGCCTCTACCCTATGATTTCAATTGATTACTGAGGAATTCGGGTCCTTTAAAACCGTTTTGCTTGGATTTCCTCCCTACGTGCCATTAGCGAAAGAACTCACAGAAACTAACCCTTCCCAAGTATAGGTCTAGACTGTGTGCAAATAAAGACTTCTGTCCTCCCCTGATGAAAAACATAAAGTCAAAAAGCAAGCAGGCCGGGCGCGGTGGCTCACGCCTGTAATCCTGGCACCACGGGAGGCTGAGGGGGGAGGATCGCTCGAGCTCAGGAGTTCGAGACCAGCCTGAGCAAGAGCGAGACCCCGTCTCTAGTAAAATAGAAAAAATTAGCCGGGTGTGGTGGTGTGTGCCTGTAGTCCCAGCTACTCGGAAGGCTGAGTGGAGGGATTGCTTGAGCCCAGGAGTTCAAGGCTGCCGTGGGCTGTGATCTCGCCACTGCACTCCAACATGAACAGAGCCAGACCTTGTCTCTAAATAAATAAATGAACAGGCTAACGTTTTATGATTTTAGGTTTGGGATTTTTTGGTGGGTTTTGGGGGGCGGTGTTTGTTTTTGCCCCACATCCAAAGCTAATATGTAAACACCCTCAGAATTAGAGCAATAGAGTAAGTTCTTGAATGATCATTAGGTCATCTTTTTCAGAAGTCAAGTCTAAGCGGTACAGCCTTCCTTCACCATCTTCATAAAAGGTTTCATTAGTATCAGAGGTTGAACCAAGATAGCGTCCCTACAGATTATCTGTCTCTCTGCAGGCACCGCAATACCACTCAAAGCAGCTTACTCAATCCGAGTACTGGCCAATATTTAGCAGCGCAAGCGTTTCATTATTTAGCAATATACAGATTTTTTTTTTTAAGTCTAGAGCAGGAGGGAAGAGTAAGTTATTTTAGTAAATCTCTAAATGAAATACACTGGGGACAGTGGACAGCACTTCTAAAAATAACCTTTTTCAGAAAGGCCAGAGACAAGAATGCAAGCTCAAGTTGCTCCATATTATTTAACAGAGACAAGAGAACAGAGATCGGCAAACAGAAGCCAACCCCTCGGCCCCTACACACTTGATGTGTAACATATTCTCTGCCCCTTTACCTAGTTTATTCTGAATAACTCACATGAAATATAACACAACTTTATATTTTGCTTAAGCATCTGTCAAAACTATGTGGATAACTGCAGTGCATTTAGTTGACAAAGGATTGATTTCCAGAATATATTTAGACACACAAAAAAATTAATAGGAAAATGTTAAAGAACACTGTTTAAAAAAAATGGCTAAGAATATGCAATTCATAAAGAGTAGCCTTAATGATTAAACATCGGAAAAGATGCTCAGACTCACCATAATCAGATAAATGCAAACCAAAACCACAATGAGATACTATAGTGAGATTCATAAGATCGATAAAAATTTGAAATCTGATAATATCAAGGATTGGTGAAAATGTAGAGCAATGGGAATGTAATTAGCACAACCATACTGGAAAACAATCTGGCACTCTCTAGTAAATTCAAAGACACCAGAGCCTACGACCAGGCAATTCCACTCCCAGGTGTAACTCAAGAAGATGTTTTTAATAATTGCAGATATACAGAAAAGTTGAAACAATAGGTCAGTTCGCCCAGATTTGCTCATTGCCAACATTCTGCCACATTTGCTTTATTGTTCTGTTTTTACATGTATAAAAAGATATTTTTTTCTGAACTACTTGGAATACGTTTGTAGACATCATCCCTTTACCCCCAAATATTTCAGCATATGACTTAGGACAGAGAGATCCACTTATTTAATCACAGTAACAATTATCAAAAATCAAGGAGGTTGACATTAATGCAATACATTAATGGTCTAATCTCCAGCCCTTATTCAGATTTTGACAATTGTCAAAATTCAAGAAACCCAGTTGTTTTTAATAAATTAATCGTGATCCTTCAAAGCAACCCACAATTCTTAAATTTGTGAAACCCTGCATCTAGGAAAATGTTTTCCTTTGATTTCACAAGTCGGTTTTGTAAAGTAAATCTATAAACATTTTGAACTTTGTCCATACACCAAACACTCTGGCCAAACCAACATAGTCCATGCTTGGAAGAAAATCAAATTAGAACGGTCTTTATCTAATGTAGGAGATTCATTGCACAAGCTGCCCCATCCCCGGAGCCTTCAGGAAGTCACTCACACATAAATAATGCCACCTGTGAAAGGCCTGTGGAAATGGAGACAGAAGTTAAACCATCTCAGACATAATTAACTCTAAATGAGCTGAGTGAACTCTTGGAATAACTGCCCATTTATAAATCACACTAGTTTTTCTGCCCTCCAGTCGTAACGCAAGCTTCCTAAGCCAGCAATGAAGAAAATCGAGCTCTGCTACAGCTCAAAAGAGAATACGGTAGCTTATCAACAGAAGTGTACCTTAGTCTACCCATGACGTATGTGCCAAAAGTCAGAAGCTCAGCGTTCCAAACACACCCTCTCAGGAAAAACTCACTGAAACTAGTCTGGGCAAGAACGCTACTCAATCAGAAGCTTCACTAACTCGAAAATAGGTGAACACATAGAGTGATAGCATGACACAGAAATCTCTCTTAACACTGTTTCCATAAATTTTTAATTAAATCTGGTTTGGAATTGACAAAAATACACTCCCCCGTCCCATAGTTATTGGAAGAGGACATTACAGGAACATTCTGGGGTACTGGTCATGTTCTATTTCTGGATCTAGATGAGAGGCATACGGGTAAGTTCACTTTGGAAAAATGCATGA